ATATATTGCACATTTCCATGACTAGTAATAACTGAGAGTATTATATACATATGTTTTGACTGGTTCACTGTAATTTATACAAATAGCATAAAAGTAACATCACCTATTCGTTGTCTTTATGAATTTGAGAATAGCATACGGAAATAACTAAAACTGCTTAAAGGTTGATTGAATTAATAACAGTATGAAGATATTGTTCAGCATTTTTAACTTATTTATTTATTTGGACACATGAATATTGGTACAAGAGAGCGCCAATATATATGCGCCACACAAAACAATGAAAATTCGAAGAGAAAAGAAAAAAAGGTAAGGAGCGTAAAGAAAAAGAGAACAATAACGAAGAGATTGGTGTAAGGTAGTGTGGTAGTAATGAGGGAACGGAAAGGTACAATCGGAAGAAATCTTTCAGTTAAGGGAGACACAACCACTTTTTATGAAGAAAGTAAACGAAGGTTACAGCAGGATCGCCACTGGCTTCTATTCTGAGCCATATCTGATAACGTCTCTAGCCACTGTGTAGCACCATCTCTCGGACCCCAACCAGGGAGTCATGAAGGACCAACACAAGCCAGTCTTTTGCAGCTTTCTTTCATGCCACGACACCATGTCATGCACTGACCACCTCTCCGCTTCTTCCAACCAGTCCCAGAGTCGGCGAATAATGCACGACGTGGAATTCTCTGGGACGACATTCGTAGAACATGTCCAAGCCACCGAAGTCGGTGTTTCAAGATGGTGACACCAATTGCATTATCATCTCTGTGCCCGAACACATGATGCCGAACCTCTGCATTACTGACATGGTGTTGCCACTGAATGTCAGCAATCCTTCGGAGACAGCGATGATAGAACACAGAGTCGTCTAACGTCCTCAACTCGGGGAGACCAGGTTTCACAAACATAGAGCAAAACTGCTCTCACCGACGCTTAGTAGATCCGACCTTTTACAGCCAGACTAACATCACGAAGGCGCCAAAGGTGGCCCAGATTGGCATGAGCCGCTCTGGCTTTCACTGTACGTGAATTGATCTCATCACTCACACCACCACCAGCACTTATGCAGCTACCCAGATACACGAACTTCTCGACTACTTCTATCTGCTCACCATCCAGGGTGAGTACAGGATTAGAATCCCGCCAGTCTTGTAGGAGTACTTTGCACTTCGAAGGTGCAAAGCACATACCATACCTACGGACACTGATTGCCAACTGATTAAGTGCGGATTGCATGCCTTGGGCATTATCGCACAGTAAGACAATATCGTCCGCATACTCAAGGTCGAGAAGTCTTTCTCCAGGCAACAGATACACACCACCATTACTTACATTCATCAGAGCTGTTTCCAGAATGTCATCGATGGCAAAGTTGAAGAGGAATGGTGAGATTGGGCAACCCTGCCTAACCCCTTACGCAAGCTTTGCCCAATTTCCTTACGTAACATCCTTCGTTTATGGTCAAACTCACGGTCATCCGGAGTAGACCGACGGGCTTCAATGAGTTGTAAGGAACCAGAAGAAACCCAGTGCTTAAAAGCGGGACGTTTCGCGAACCCACAACTGACTGTACCCGCCATTTTCATGGCGTCATGCAATTGCAACCGATGCTCATCTAGACTTTTCGGTGGAGTGGTAGCTAGCCTAGAAACTAGCTCGGTTCGATAAACACTAGCAACAGAAGTTGCAACCAGCTTGCTAATATCAATCCTTTGCTGGCGGTCACTTCGTTGGCCCCTGAAAAGTAAGGTAAGATTGGCGCAGACCAAGGCATGATCAGAGTCCAGATAGGTACTCCAAAAGGAGCGGCAGTCTTGTACACAACCACGCCAGCGGTAGCTGATCGCGATGTGATCAATCTGAGTCCAGGCTTGGGATGCAGAGGGAGGACGCCAGGTGGCACATCGGCGATAACTGTGCCGAAAGTTAGTGCTAGCCAGAAACAGGTTGTGGTCTGTGCACAGTTGCAGTAGACGGTCCCCGTTATCTGACCTGCGACCAACGAGTCCCCATCGGCCACCTAAACGACTCTCTTCCGTGCCTAGACGCCCGACCTGAGCATTCAAGTCTCCGGCTAGTACTACAATATCTGTCGAACGCACTTTCTGGAGAAGAACAGATAACTGGTGGTAAAACTCATCCTTGATTGCATCCGGGCTGCAATCTGACGGGGCATAGGCGGAGATGACAAAAAGACATCGTTTCTCATGCCGATTTCTTCTCACTTTGATGGAACTTTCTAATCTAACAGCACATAACCGACTGTTAATGGGGATCCAATCGACTAGTGCTGCCTCAGCTCGAGCGCTTAGTGCGACACCAACACCTGCAAGACCAGACGAAGATGCCACAGGGTCCCCGGATAAGCGCACGTAAAACAAGCTTTTTGAAGTGACAGATGTAGAGCGAATTTGTAGTACTTCGCTAGAGTCTTGAATACGGGTCTCGGATAGACAACAAACATCAATATTAAGACTTTCCAAAGACCTAGCCAGCCCTATCTGTTGACCAACCTGCATAAGTGTGCGAACGTTGAAGGCAGCCAGTTTGAATGGTGCACGTGGTTTCAGAAAAACTGCTTCAGTACTCATATTCAATGGTAACATACAATTTTCAACCGGACAGTGACTCGAGAACGTTTAGATACAGTCGGATTTCCACCAAAGACGAGCCGCTGTATAAGTATAAAAGAGGGTGAATAATGTGGAAAATAATAATAATAATAATAATAATAATAATAATAATAATAATAATGACAATAATAGTAATAATAATAGTATTAATAATGACAATGATAGTAATGATAATTATTTGAATCGACTGATTGTTTTTCGGAGCGAGAAAAGTAGTTGCCATAGACATAGAGTTCATCGTTTGTGTGTAGGCTGTGATACTGTCCGGGTGCCCAAACCGAAGCAGGTGGTTATCTTAGGGGGCCACTCCCCGAGCCTTTGACCTAAAGGTCTAACTCACAAGGCAGTGGAGCATCGTAAGGAGATGCAATCCCATGGTAGCCGGTGACCAACGATTGGTTCATACGCCATTTGTTCCCACAGGATACTGGAGCCCATGTGCACCATTGGTTTGTGATCCGGTTAAAGCGCCGGACATTCGCTTTTCGTCCTTTCATTTTCATAAACAACACCCCCGCCACGAGAAGGCGATGAGTAGGACTTCCCTGGCAGAGGCTGTATACGCGCGGCCGTGTGGGAGTATTTCGAGAGGGAGAGCGGACTCACCCCACTCTCGGCCGTACCAGGGCTTTCGGGGGCTAACTAACTAAGGAATAACTGCTGCTGTAAAGAGTTTCCAGATTGAAAAATAACCGACATATGTTATGTCTTAATAGTTAAGATGTTCAACTTTCATGTATGAATTTCGAATCCTACCTTATCTACTACAGTATGGACAACTAAATAGTTCCACCAACCCTAAATATTAACTATGACTGAAAGCCGAGTGCATAAATCTGTGCTCGATAGACCACCTCGTGAATTTTTTCAGCAATTTACTATTTCAAACTTTATACAATAGTATAATAGAGAAGTGTGAAAACGTTTTACCTAATGCGTAAAACGTGAATATCAGGGTAGCTGAAAATTACATTACATATTATCCCTCAGCTATTTATTGTTCTTTTTAATTGATTAATTGACTATATCTTCAAAAATATACTCGACAAATTTCAGGAAGCAGTGATTGTGATAATCGATGAAGTTTTTTTTAGAAATTTATAAAATTTTCCAGGATCTACATTTTTGAAAGTTATACAAATTTTCTTTCGTTTCTTCACTAAATGTAATTATTGTCATGCAGTATTTATAAATTTTCTAAAAGTTAAATGGTATCATGACAGTCGATTGCCAAAATCATGATTTGAATGATGTGAATTTATTTTTTATGAAACCTTTTTTAAAGAAATGATAATTGGTTCAGTAAACAATATGATAATAATTTCAATGGTTGAAATCATGAGTCAGTTGAAGCCAGGTCACCATGGAAAACATAGAAGCATTGGACGGCCGTTTTGTCCGGTTGTGTGGCTCCTCATCAGTGCTCATCCACGATCCCGCCCCACGAGATTCGGACTCAAGACATAACAGTTTCACGCGCGAGCGATTATCCACTAGATCACTGAGCCGTCCAGTTCTTCCATGTTTTCCATGGTGGTCTAGTTTCAACTGACTCATGATCCGAAACATTGCATTTACTATGATATCCACAAAATCCCTTCTGATATTAATGTCATAATATACAATAATGTTTAATGTAAATTTTATAAATTTAATTTCATGAGTTCATACTACTGAAAAGTCTTAAAATAAAAGGTAACAGTTATTGAATTCCCCTCAATAGTCACTAATTCTCCAAATGCTTTTTACTAGTGATTAAACTAACTTTATGTAATGAGCTTAAACAAACTGAAATCATGAAATAAAAAGATCTAATTTAAAATAATTGGCGTAATGTATATTAACGCAATATAGTTTGAGTAATTTGACCATACATTACCTCTTAAAGAAACTTATATATGAGAAATAAAATAATAAAACTAGACGGGTCCGAACACAAAGAAGAACGAAGATCACAAGTCCAATTTATAATAATTTTGTATGGTGCCGTCTCTGATATTGTCGATCAAGTTATGATCAATCTTAATTGTTATATGTGTATCTTTTGTTCATTATTTAAAACGAAAGGTTGTGAGGCTCAATTCCCAATATAAATATCAAATTAGATGCAGGCGCATCCTGCTGACGAGTCTCAAATGGAACAAAACGAGTGTTTTGCATTAAACTGTCAACGATAATCCACTTGTACTATAAAAGACAGTAATAAAACACAATTTAAATCACACCACATTGGATATAAAAGTTAGATCAATATTAGTAACAATAAGTTTGGCGAAATATTATATTCATCTACATTTACTATATATAGTTTTGTGCTTTATATTTTTTTTCTCTTTACCCGTCTTTTCCTATATTTCTATATCTTTCCAGTTTGACATTTCCAATTATCATATATGGGTATCTCAACAATTCAAAATACATTGCTCTAATGTGTAATACATCAATTCCGATAAATTTCGCCTTCTCAATGGATTATCTAGACTTCATGTATCCATTTTAGTTAAGAATCAAATAGTATTTTTGCACCTATTTATTTACTGAATTCATTACATAAATGTATATTCCTAAAAGAATTCAGTGTTCTTTCTAAGTAGAACTGAACTAACTTTCCTATGGATAATCACAGTTTATTGAATAATAGCGAGAAATTTCATTATTCATAAAGATTAAAAAAACTAACATGTGAAGAGGCAGTCATCAAAGTATAGTTTCAAATCGTTCATTAATTAATCCACTTAGAAGTGTCCTGTTATTTAATTTTAACTGAATCGTAATAAATTCATCGTGATATTTGTTAGCTTGTCTAGGAAATGCTGGATCTGTGTTAAATGCAAGTTAGCACCCGTTAGAAATCTTGTGAGGACTGATGATTCCAGAAGGATTTGAACCCATCTTATCCAACTTCAAGATTTGAGACGTTAACACTAAGCTATTCGGCATGCAAACATATATATACCATTATAATCTCAAAAACCACTTATTCGGTTCCAAAAAAAATAAAACATTCATAAGTTTCTATTGCATTTCTATTCATTCAGAAACTTTCAACAAATACGAACAATAAATTCCCCTTTAAGCTTTATTGTAACTTGTAATTGTTTTTTCTTGATCTTTATTCATTCATTTTGTAGAACAGATCAGTATACAAACACTAGCAAAACATATATAATTGAATTCTTCCTGTTGATCATTAGAATAATGTATTTTCAATTAAACATTGAGTCAGTTCTATACTCAATTATGGAAAAATTCAAAAGAACACTTAATATATTTATAATGTTTCAGTGGAAATATCTCATAAAAAGATCTTTATATTCATATCAGAAAATTAATCATTCAATAAATGGTTCTTTAATTAAAAAATCATTTATAATATCAATGTTGGTGAGTTTGATTCTGATGGAAATTTCAGCAATGTAAGTTCATTTTTAGTTAGTATATTAATAATAATATTTTGTAATGAATCACTTTTCGTAAACAATGGTAATACAAATTTATTTATCCAGTTATCGAAAGTTTATTAAATTATATAGTTTGTACCAGAAGGGTTTTTCGTGGATAGTATAGTAATCTCGCATGCGAACGCTTAATCTTTAGACCAATGAGCCGGCATCCAACGGCACTAATATTTAACTTCAATCGATCCATGCTCTTGCATAAATTTTCATCAGTTGTTTGAGGTGGATAACTGTCCCATATCCGACACGGACTTCACTGGCTACGACTTCCCACTAGAACTCCAGGAAATCCAAATTGAAGCTAGTCACTAGTGAGCACATGATTATTATCAGCATGGGGCTTTAAGGGGATTGTAGATGTTCCATACTAGAACAAAACGGCCGTTCAGTACTTCCAGGCTTTCAATGGTGTTCCAGCTTAGATTGACTCGTGAATTCAACTGTTAAATTACTTTATTCCTCACAAAGTCCCATACTGATAACATACAATTTCAACGCAAACTTCATAAAAAATCACGATAATTTTTACAGAAACACAAAACCTTAATTATTTACATCATTCACAAGCAATAAATCACGATATGTACCTGTCAACCAAAAACTCAGTGAATTTTTAGCAAAACATTTGATAGAAATATTTCAACGTCTGAATTCTATGTCAAGTGAATTCTAAACATATCCTAAGGTATACAAGTATTCATGATAATAGTTAAAACATTGAAACAAAAATTATTCATATCTGTATTCCATTGTCGGTGTCCAATGGCAATTTAAGTAGGTTGTTTAGATCCCTTGAGAACACGATTCTTAAACGTAAGAATGTGTTCAACTTTTACAAAAATATTTCAATTCCTATAACATTTTCTAGATGAAACATAACAATAATGACAATAAAGAAATTAAGATTATTTTTTTCTGTTTTGGATAGGATATTGAATTGATATATTAGTTCGGCTCCATTATAGTATACTTTCAAAAGATTTTAAATTGTTTTATTATGTAAGTTGCATTATTGAAAATCATCTTAAACTATTAAAGAACAATGAATGTTTATTTCTTGATTTTATTACTTAACTTTTGGTGAAAAAATACAAAAACAAGTACTTTATGGAAATATAATTTCAATCATTGAATAGTTTTGAAAAGGCAAAGTTGTCATGACAACTATCTCACATTTGAATTTAACTGAAAAGTGGATAGTAATAAATGAACAACCGTATAAACATAATATTTTGTTGCTAATTACCAAAGTTTTAAGAAGTATATTGAATAATGTACATCAATAAGTTGAAAATTGGTTTGTTTTTTCAAATGCTAGAAAAGATTTTAAACTTTTAAAAACTGTTAAGTAAACTAGATACATACATCTATTGGAATATAAAAACAAGGACCAATTTTTTTTAAAAGTATCAAAATGAGCTAATCAAAGAATTGACTAGTTGGAGACATGAATTCCATTAACCCATGGAAAAAATGGTTAAAAGAGCACCAACTAAGTTTATCGTTATTGATATTATTATTTTCCGTATGTTTTATTGGCTTCCTTACTTAATTTAATACTGACTTTTTAAATTTATTTCATAAGTAGTGTTAAACTAAATTTGAATGTTTTTTTTTAAACTAATTACTGCTTAGGATTATATCAGAAATGCAGTGACTCTTCATTTTATTCATATGGATTAAAAATACTTGTTATGTTTCTTCTTAAATGTCGAATTTCTAGCAAATAGCTGCTAAAAAATCTGAAGTCGAACATACTGGTAAAATAGAGAGATCAGAACTTTTTAGTGAGTTAGTTTTCTACTGGATGAGGTCGCTAATTCCGTGCTTACCCACTTGGGGCCGGCAGTAGTCCCAGGGGGCTCCAGGCGGAGTTAAAACAGTAGAATAAAAAGTACTAAATGAAACCGTTTGTATTTTCTATTCAAAATCATTGAGCTGATTTATATTGTACCAATACTCAGTACGACAAGCTAATGATATTCAGTTACCTTCACATAAAATGGGTTTGGTTGAAGTTAGGTAGCTTTCAGAAAAGAAAAATTTTTTGATCTTACAAATCAGTATAAGGGTTATTCAAAGATTAAAATATCTTTTGGTTACTGAGACTAAATTTCACCTTCAAGAAGTTTCAGTATGACGTTTTTCATATTTATATGTCATCATCTTGAGAGCCGTTTGTAAGCAAGAGACGACGGACAGTTAATATATCATAATTTAGGCCTGTTTAACTCATGAATTCACACTAGATTTAAAAGAAGGAATTTAGAACATGGTATTGTTGAACCACTGAGGCGATTCACTACATCCAGAAAATTAATTGCTACCATCAGTAAGGGAAGTGTTTAACTTACGAAATCATTGCTTTAAGAGGATGTTAGTTGAATGAAATCGGTAATGTGGATCATTGAATTCCAACTCATTAGTCTAAAGGTATCACCTGTATGATGAGACTTGGATCAAAACCTATGGAAGTTTATAGGTGCCCTCTGCTATGACATCTTACACCAATCCTAGGTCCAATTTCCTCAAACAAATCATTCAAATAAGTTGTAATACATATTAACAACTTAAAACAATGACTTTTGTGTTTTGAAAGCACTCTGATCCCTATTGTCATTTCTAATCAGGAATCAAATGTAAACAAGTAGGATTTGTTGAGTCAAATCATCTATTTCACCACTAACAAAAATTTAAAATAAGTTTATGTTATGGATGTGCTTTACCATGAAATCCTGGTAGATGTTGACGTAAATTACATATTCGTATGTCTTCTATTTATTAACTTTATTCTAACTTTCATTTATTAAGATTGTGACTTTTAGCCGAATAAAACATGATATATATTTCGATTGTATTATAGTAAACAATAACATGGCGAATATATGAACGTCAATGACCGAAGATAACTGAACCCCAAAGGCTTATAAATCTTATTTTTATAAAATTCGTTCAATGCCCTTAACAAAAAGATGAATTGTCAACTAGATGCAAGTAGCATCACATACTATTTATCACGACGTTTCAGGTTACACTTGAGAAGTCTTAACCACAATCACAGAACATAAAAATAATTTAGACTTCGGAATCGTGTGTTTTAAAGATTATCATACGGTGGATGAGCGATCACTTTACTACACCGAACAAATGAAAATTCTGCTAATTAAAAGTTACGGGTAAATAAATCCCAATCGCTCAGTACAGAATTTCAAACTTGTTTCTTAATATTTACTATCGTTAATATTCATTAGATATACACAGCAAATTACTCGGAAGATTTCTTCACTGTTAATCATTGCATAAGGTGGTCATGATTCATATATCAAAATTATTAGTTGTAAACAGAGAAATTTAGCAGTTTCGAAGCGGAACGACCCTACTACTTAGACGTTGAAGGCTTGTCTAAATACGAATGTTGGAGCCATGGAAATTTATAACTTCAAATGGGTTCTTTTGATTTTCATTTACTAACTTTTACCACAGAACAACATTGAAGTATATTAGTTCTGTTATTCATTTCATTGTTTAATATAATCGGTATAGATTTTAAGGTGTTATTGTTTGCTGGCATGCGTAAAACAGCTGTAAACTATAAATAATTATTTTATGTAGTACTGATATGAATAATTTCAGCTTTCGGAACTTTGAGAAAAATTCATTAAATCCATAGATTCTTGAAAATAATTGGTTATATTAGAATAATTCAAAATAACTGAAAGATTGTTCAGAATTTCGGGACGGATGGTTTCGGGGATGCAAATAATAAATCACAGAAAGCGATTTATTCAAAATAATCCGAGAGAATTTTTTCGTTTTACGAATTATGGTAAACCACTTTACCTACTTATAAGTAGTATAAAACGGATTGTTAGGCTCATGGTTTAATGCATTCGATGGTATTTAGATGGCAAATAAACATTTTAATGATTGTTTATTGAATATTAACTCCAGAGGGCTGTAGCGGTTATTTCTAATTCATCCAGTAAGTGATTTTCTTTGAAATTCATATTTTGCAATCAGGCTGAAAGAATTGTCTTTTTAAGTGAATAATGTGGATTTCACATAGCTTTTTCTTCATTCACAGAACATTTTCTTCAGAAAATAATGTTAATTTGATTAGTGTTGACAACCGAGAAACATTGAACATCTACTTCATCCATGCTTAGAAGTTCTATACATTGTAAACTATTGACCTTATATGTTGAAGCGAATTCTTAGAGGTGGCAGTGAATGTGTAAGTACACATGATATGTCCCGAATTCGGACTAAACAAGTATCTAATGCATCCAAATTTTTCTTCCTCTCTTATCTATACTAATCAATTAGGATTCTTATAGGAACTAATAAAAGATATATAAATCTATATTTATATACTAACTAAGACTTAATTTAAAACAAGTATCGGAATATTATCAATGCCTCAAAATTCACATTAAAACAAATATTCAAATTTAACAAATAACATTCATTAGTTAAAAGAATAAAATGATCATTGCATAATATCTGAACTTCTTCGAGATTATTACCCTGAAGAAGTCTAGACAAGTTAGCTGGACGAAACTATGGAATTATTTAAATTTCAATCGCTGAGATTATTTCACATGTAATTTTCACATATAATAAAATGAAATAGTTACGTACTAAGATTTCATTTAATTCCTGTTCTGATAATTAGTGTTTTATGGAATTTTTCCGCTAATTAATTTAATTAGTACAAAAGATTTATAAAAAATTACATTAGTTGGTATTAGTTTGTTTCTTTTTTTCATTCTCTTCCGATACATTTTTTGTCAGACAGAAATTTTAGGAAGTGTACAATGAATCGATTGTTTGTTCGTTTATTTGTTTTCTTTGAAAAACAAAAGTTACTCAGAATCAAACGATGTACTGCTAATTAAGAATGAGAAGATTCAGTTCATTTCGTTATCAAAATGTATTTAAAAGTTTTTTTCTTCTGAATAATACACTGCTAATTTATTAATTAAACTTTTAACTGATATTATTTGGATACAATATGGCTGATAGTCTGTTGGTATGATTTGATACCTTTTTTAAAGGAGCTTCTAAATTTACTTTTTAATTAGTTTTTCATCATGGCTCTACACTAATATATATGATTTACAATAATGAAATAAAACTCATCGAGTGGATACGTTACGTAATGACATATCTGTTATAAATTAACATTGACTAATTGGAAGAAATAGGATTAATAATAATCAAATTATTCGCAAAATCAAAAAGTTACTATGTTACATGATATATGAAAAAAAGAACGAACAGAATATGTTGATGAATGGTTAGTACAATAATAGTTATGTAAGAATCAAGAGATCAATGTTGAGAATAAGTAGAATACAAAGTTCAAAAAACAGAAAAAACAAAAATGGACGAAGTATGAAAACAGTTTATCAATGTTCTACAACAAACGCCCCTATACCGATGGCCAAGGTAGCGAGCGTGATTGTACAAGTTTCTTTTGGATGCAAAGAATATGTTTGTGAACATGGATTGCAATGGCTTCAGCAATATGCAAAAGACGCACTCATAAACCATGCGGCAAATTTGATGGGATGTAGCAGATAACCTTAAAAGCTTTATTCAACTCTGCTTGATGATCTGTGTCATCCAAGTGAGCGAGAGTAGAACTCTTAATCCACTCTTACCTGTCCTTTGCTCAACCACGACGGATGGTGTTCTGTTATACGATAAAGAACTTGCTGAATTGTACGCCTTATATAACTAGCTCCACAGGAGTAGTTAAAATCGATAAATACACATGGATTTGGCGAATTCAGGCAATCGGTCTTTACTGGCCGTTTTTATTGTGGGGCGGTTGTAGAAGATAGCACTCAGTCTAGCTGCATTAAATGTTTTTTGTACCGCTTTTCTTAATCTTTGAGTCACAAATTCCTAAGTAGTATCATTTAAGAATTGTAATTTTAAGAACAATACTTTCTTAGGAACGGTAGGTACCTTTGTCCTTCTTTTCATCTCCTTCATGTGTTTGTCTATGAATTTCATATATATTAGTGTAGAGGCATGATGAAAAACTAATTGAAAAGAAGTTTCTTCGCTCGATTCGTTCCTTCTTTATCTACCAAATGTCAAAATGGAATTTTCACTGTTTTAAATTAACATTAAATTTTGTTTATGTTTTTAGTTTTAGTTTTTCTGACTGTCAACTAGGTGCACATCTCTTAATGTCATTTCTTCTTAAGTATCCTAAAAATTATCTAACTGGTAACAAAATAATTTATGAGTCAACCAAACTTTTATAAAAACCACCCTAAGTTTAAATTTTCATATAAACTATGTTAGAGAAAGAATGTTATGAGACATAATTAATAATATAAAGACCGGAAGATTGTGAATTCTATCACATATTGCTCCGCGAATACTTACTAGTCACAAACTTATATGAAATAGTTATTCAGCACTCTCTAGCATTATCTAGTTATTCTGTGGGAAAATAAACTTCAAATAAAGGGATGCATATTTTCTCACTTACTTTGGAAAAATACAAGACTTAGAGAAAAGAGAATTGGAAAAAGGTTTTTTTATTGATGACAATAATTCAACTAATAAAATTTGTAAAATTAATGAATACAGTGAACCACATTACACTGCAAGCTAACATTATCAAATAAGCTAAAGAAAATATTGAAGTTATGGACAGTAGTTCCATTCTTGTCTAGAACTTGTTCTACACGTTAAAGGATATCATTCCGAGTTCTTAACTCTTCAGTTGGTACTCAAATCATCAATTAAATTATTGATTGATCGGTTTGATGAAACAAAGTTATTCCTCTTTAGTTATCTATTTCACTCGAACCGCCTATCACAAAAATAAGCGCTAAAGTAAGCTAAAGTTGCTCATGTATTGACAAATCCAAGGTAATGACGAGAAATATTTCTTTGTATGCTGAGTCCAGGTTACATCTCAAGGAATCCCAAATCTACCATTTCCAATAGATAAAAATGCAGAAATCATGACAGATTTGTACGACCCCATAAACAACCGTACACTCAGTACATGGGTTAGTTGACTGAACATAGTTAGATAATCGATTCGACAAATACCTTCCTCAACTATTATTCATCTAAACTGTTTAATCATCTACCTTTTCATTTATTTTACAATTTTATTCTCTAACTTACTAAATTGGTTCCGCAAATACTCCCCTCTCTCACGCTCTCTGAATAATACATTTTACTGTAGTAGATAAGAATGAATTGGGAACAAAATATATTCCGAGAAAAAGGTACAGGAAAAAAAAGAAATGATATAAAATTGCAGGAGAAATTTTTAGCACCTTCTGTATCCATATGTAGTTCTGACTGGTTGAAAAAAGATCAATGGGTTTGTTCGGAATTATTTCTTACTCAAAATGGAACTGTTAGAGATTCATCCACTTAATATTTACCACTTGGGAATTGATAAGTAAACACATGAAAAAACTCGCTCTATACAGATTGCTTTTTTCTCACCTATCTTTACAATTATTACGCTATATGCTACATATTTTTAGGTATAAAAATCTGTATTTTTTTCCAGTGTTACTCCACCTTTCTGGATGCCTTCGGAGAGTTGGTCTAGTTGCTCTAAAGAATGTGGTGATGGTGTTGAAACCCGTCGATTTTTATGTGTTCAAAATGATCATTACAATGCTACGACACTGTTAGATGAATCACAATGTGAACATTTACCTAATCCAAGTGCACAGAATACAGAAAACAATCAAAGAGCATGTAAACTCGGTCCGTGCGGTAAAGGATATCGATGGAGAGTATCTAACTGGGGACATTGTTCACAAACATGTGGTGGACTTGGTATAATGTCTCGTGATGTACAGTGTGTTTATTCAGGCAAAGACGGTGATCTTGTGATATCAGATTTCGATGCATCCTATTATTGTGGTAATTATCGACAACCTGAGAGACATGCATCGTGCAATCGATTTGCATGTAAGCCTGAATTTGTCCCCGAAAAATGGGGTAAGGTGAGTTATAAACTATAAGTTTAAAAGAAACAGTTGTCTCTGAATAACTTACCATTTAGCTAGTTAGAATATATGTTAACTTACGGTCATTTTTGTTCTTTTTATACGTTTTGTAAATTAATTTTCAATATACTGCAAAATATAAATTGATGACCTCAGTTTTACGTTTATATAGTCGTTTTCTCAGATAGAAATGCTTTGTGCGATTAAGTAAAAAGATATGTAGTTGTTCAGTTATTCTAGCTCAATTGAAATAAGACTGTGATGTTAAAGTATCCCATCTAATCAACGTTATCAACCTAAATATCTTTAGTTAACTAAACTGTGTCAGATAGTTCACAATGTTTGTATAATCTCGTTAAATATTTTAGTTTTCTAAAGAGCAGTTAGAAGAGACCGTTTATTTTAGTTGAACTTAAAACTGTTTCCGGTCAATGATAAAACAGTGGGAAAAGGATAGCTAATGGATTTGTTCGTATTAGATCAGGTTTATATTACAGTTTGAACTTTAAATACAACCAAATTATTCATCACAAGAGGATAATTCCAAATAAATTTAGAATGTCATCATCGTATGAAACACTATTATGATTGTGCCTTACTTTGGGCTGTATGTGAAATTGTACGCTAATAAACATGGAAATACAATAACTGAGTTCGTTGAATGGATTAAATTCTTAATAGAATTAGTTATAATATACGACTGGCTAAAAATCTTATAAAGACACAGAAAATATGTTCGTTATTCACTAAATTATGCTGAGTAAAACCCGAAAGAAACAACAGAATCTCTATCAAATAATGCACGTCAGTTAGTATACTCTTATTACATTATTATAAAATCGACAAACCAGTAGATTTTTAAAACCACCGTCGAAAACGTTCTTCCAAAGGAGTACATTTTATTTGTCATAATTCTGATTGCTCAGTGATTACTTTTACATATTACTGGTTTTTAATAAGTTGTACCGTACTACTTAGTTCTATAGATTGTTCAGAATTGATTCGCCTTCAGTTCTTAGTCTAATTGAGTGACCTTAGTTTATTTATTTAAAGGGTAAATACAATACAAATATACATCAGAATTTTTACAATAATATTTTTTTCATTAGTGTATTCAAAGTGATCCATGTCGTCCTGGCAGACAAGTACGTCAATTATCATGTATTTCTGTACAAGTCAATGGATCACTTCGCGAACTGCCAATGGCAGCTTGCTATATGACTGGGAAAACGATTCAACCAACATGGCGTCGATGTTTTGAAGAAAGTTCAAGAAAATGTGACAGCAAACCACCAATGATTAATACTGACACTTTAACTATTGTTCAGATGAGAAAAGTAGTTTCTTTAATTTTTCTACTTGTATACTTTTTTGTGTCTGGTTATATTAAAATGTAGTAAAATTCTAGACAGAATTAATCGGATTATAATTTCTTGATTATTCAGATATTTCAGGTTCCATTATTATACCGCTCAATGTTTGAAAATTGATGAGAAATGCTCTTAACAACTAATTAGACATCACTCTAAATTTTTTCAATAATATCCAATAAAGTCTGATTGATCTGCATATTCACTTTGTATTTTATCAGATCTTGAACTGATAAATTCTTATGTACATATGACTTTATGAGAATTTATCATATCCAGGTTACAGATTACCCATAACCTAATACTCTATGAAAATAACTGAAATGATTAAGTTTAACAGTATATCATAAACAGAGTAGCTTTCTAAAAGCAACCAATAATTAGGACAAATTATCACAAATACGCCAAAGCCTACAGAGTAATAAATACTAACTAATTTTTGAATAAATATGTAAATTTGCTGAAAAACTTTAATTAGTACCTAACTGAGACTTTTTTCAATCCATTTCATTATAAACCGCTATACTAGTTTATATGTAGCAATCTAATAATCATAACATTTTGATTAGCCTTACAGAGTAATTCATAAATTTCCGTATATTTATTAAGCTAGTTTATTGTGGTAAAATATACAAACATTCAGCTTGAAAAACTCATAAAACTATCATGAGATACTACAGTCTGTGACTATACGCTCTTCTCTCTCTCTAAATGCAAGTTGTTGCTCCAGGACTAGTCTGCATCAACACCTGAACAAAAGATAGGGAGTGAAGTAGTCGAACGCGTCGACAACTTCACTTACCTTGGAAGTCTGACCAGCCCTAATGGAAAAATGTTTCTTACGAACAAAATATAAGCTCAACAAAGGAGTTTGTCTTTTTTTACTGTAGATATGAACACTTGAAAGATACCATGCACAATTGGTAAATATATGAAAACATTTTCCGAACTGTCCTGTCCATAGAACTTAATAATTATACCACTAGATACACAATGGATTTGTTGTGTAAAATTGCATAAATTAAAATAGTTTTGTCCAGCCTGTAATATAAACTAGATGACTACTTTCGGTCGACAGATAATAATATTTAATCGATTACCTTATTATTCACTCCTGATAGAATATTTAAAATTCGATTAACCAGTATATTTTAGTTACCTTGATACATTTCACAAATGTCTTCCACGAACTTTGCAGAAGTGATTCCCCTAAGAGTGGCGATCATGAGATGTCCCAAGAAAGGAAAAATTGACGATAGCAATTACAAGATGAAATACGTTCGTGTGTAGCTGTTTTTTTCAAGATATTAATCGTATATTTATTTAAATATCTCACACAGCTACCTGTTGTTGAAGCAAGGGTAAATTTTCCAAATTTATTGTCAAATCTATTTCAACGAATCATTTAAGGAAGAAATAACACATTTTACTGTTTATCCTTTTAATAATGATTTTAACAAGTTCTAAATATTTTCGTAATTTATTTCTACTTTAGGTGAAAGTGATTGATTTAAAAGTTGGACAGCAAGCATTCGTAATACCATTTACCCGTGTAACCGTACGATGTCCTGTACAGTATTTCACAGCACAAGAATTACAATGGGCTAACCCAAACCATGGAATATTAGCCTATACAGGAGCAATATCTGATAGGATAAGGGTGGATAAACGGGGAAGATTACACATACGAAGTTTCCGTCTCATCGACGAAGGTGACTGGACATGCATAGCTGGTTCAATGAATGCAACAGTCACGCTAACAGCTAGAACTCCGGCAGCAGGATTCCATGATTGGGTGCAAAGAAACAGATTATGGACCAAAGGTATGCTTAGTGATGATCCTAAAGCAATAGCTATAAACCATGAAATTATTCAATGGGTTGTTGGACCATGGAGTACATGTTCTACAAGTTGTGGCCAAACTGGACAACAATTTCGTGTAGTTAGATGTGAAAAAGTTGATAGTCGATTCTATCAAATACTGAGTGATCAAGTATGCATTGATAAGCTATTGCCAAAACCACCAAGTACACGAAAGTGTTTAGAAAGTAACAAATGTCCAACATGGTTCGTTGAAAACCGTGATACATCTGTTGTGAGTTACCATAATGTACATTATAGTATTGCAAGTGGTTATTTTTTATTGAGATCATGAACGATTGATGTTGGACCACCGTTGAAAACATGGACGGCCGTTTCGTCCTATTGTGGGACTCCTCGACAGTGCGCATCCATGATCCCACTCGCGAGATTCGAACCCAGGGCCTCCAGTCTCGCGCGCGAATGTTTAACCTACTGGACCACTGAGCCGGCATCCAACCAACGGCCGTCCAGTGCTTCCAGGTTTTCAACGGTCGTCTAACATCAAATCGGTTCATGATCTCAATCAAAAACTTAGTAATCTCCACAACCCCTATACTGATAAAAGTGACCATGTTTTTTTTATCAAGTTATACTTCAATTAAATACTTTAAGAATGTTTTCTGAGTATATTTTAAGCTTCTTGACATAACTTTATAGGCCTAAATTTGTATTATTGACAGCAAGATAGAATTAAAACTAATTTAATGAATGAACATCAAGCCATTTTTACATAAAATAATTACGTGAGAATATATTGTCTCATATTATCAAATGAATATATGGATAATGAAAGTTACAAACCGGAATATCTTATCTTTATTTTATTTGTAACTACGTGGATACACAAGAAAAGAAAAGAGATTTTCTCTTTAACATTTAAGAATAATACATTTTTAAACTCATTTATCATGTAGTATTAGATCAATTCTAGGTTTTGAAGATATAGTGTGAATAAAACAGAATATGTTATACATCCGTTTAAATTGAAGTAGGTACAGAAGCACGATCTGTAACCAAATACTTTGTAAATTGACCAATCTTCTCGTTACCTTTGTTGTATGTTCGGAAATTGTTCTACGCATAAAAGCTTAGGAAGTTGAACTACATAGATATATTACAGAAGTAGAATTCGAATCAGAAATATCTATCAAATTGTACACTATTAATCAATAGGGCACATTGTTTGTCCAATTTTCAGTGTTGGTGAGATAAAATATTTTTAGAAAATAACTACCAGATTTATTTCTTCATAATTCAAATCACGGATTGAACATAGCTAGACCAATATTGAGAATCAGGAAGCACTGAACAACTGTTTCTTTCTAGGAAGTTCCTTATTCGTAGTGCGCATGTACGATGCCACCATAGGTGATAGAACTCAGGACATTCAATTTTGAATCTAAGCGACTCACCTTTGAACACTGGGCCGAGATCCAGTGGCGCACATGTTTCTTTCTTTTTATTCTTTATATTATATATTCCCTATATTTCGTCGATAACCTAGTTTTTTTTAAACTAACTCAACCATTTCTTTGTATGAATTCTTAATACTTCAAGTGCACAGATCGGTGTTTAGATGTCGGCAAAGGTTCAATTAGTGGAAATTTAGTCTGTATGATTGGTGAGAGAACAGTCGCCACAAAATATTGCGATAAATTAGATAAACCAAATATGGAATGTGAAAACCCTATATGTCAACTACGATGGAACGTTAGTAATTGGTCTCAAGTAAGTTAGTTGTTCTTGTCGTCACCTAATTAATCTGATTATTGATACAAACCGATCCCTTAAATGTTAACCAGAGAATTTCTCATTTGAAATAACGTAATTATATTGGGCCTTTATACAAAAATCTAATCGTGTGTATGTAGATATAATGTAGAAAACAGAACCAGCCCTATGCATGTTTACCAGTTCAAAAGCTCCTGTGGAGTTCGTTGTACAACCAGAGAAATACATCATCGTATTCCTTAACACCATCTTCCAAGGTTTACTAAAACCTAGATAAAGCGATGAGACTATGTTCTGGAGTATTTATTTAGCGTTCGTCGAAAAATAGATACCAAGCTAGCCTTGAAATTTCCATCAGATTTGTCATGTTTTGAGATTTCGTCTCTTATCTACATCAGGAGCCATAGGAACACAAATAATCTGGGTGTATATGAAAATATTTTTAAAATTTCATAGATTCTGGCCATCTACTTGATTTCGAGAAATTATACATACACTACTTAACTTTGTTAAACTTAAATTTCTGATTTTATGATTAATGGTCCTAAGTAAGCTGGTTTACCAATCCAATTATCCTTGTATCCGTCTCATCAGTACTACTACAAATAATAATAGACTCTTACATTAAGGTCATTTATTTCAAATGTATTCAAATCCTATTCTTAGTCTTGTGCAACCAGCTGCAATAATCAGTCTGTTATGTAATTTTGTCTTCATTTAAATCTTGCATACATTGCCTCAGTAACTGATTACTATAATTAGAGAAAATATTGAGATACCTTAGTAGTAAAAATAGTAAAAAATTTACTGGTTATATCCCAATGAGAAGAAAGCTAAACGTCTGACGTTTCTCAGGTTAGTTTAAGTTACTTCTTCAAAGAGTGAATTGTAAAATTAATAAACTACCATTTATTTGGTATCCATTTTATACTTATTTTTAAAACCTGTAGATTAGTAGGCAGCCACGACGAGGAACTAATTGAGAAAGAAAATATATTCACTTAACTCGTACTCTACAATGTTTCAAATACAGATAATCGTAGTAAGAGTGGTAAAAACAACAAACACTCAGTGCATTACTTTCTTAAGTCAATGAATCAACAAGTTGTATGGTGATTAAATACTTTCTGTTAAGTTTTCAAAAAGGCCAATTCAAGTTAAATCTCTTCACAGATGCTTTCAACCAATTATTCACAGAAAATAAAGTGTATGAACCACAGTAAATCCGTCAATAAATCTGTCAAGATTTAATGATTTAAGTAGTTCGAATATGATGCATTCAGCTACAATTTTTCTAATTCTAAAAAACAATTGAGATAAATTATAGATTAGCAAAAATGCACTATCTTATTTACTTTTTTAAGTCTTTTTCACTGTGTCATAAAGTATCACTAGTTAAATTAAGACTACTTGAAAATATATTATGGAAAAAGTACGTTCATTTTTATTTTAGTGCTCACGTTCATGTGGTGGAGTTGGTGTTCAAGCTAGACACCTTCTGTGTACTTGGTCACATAATGGTGAATTGGCAGGTTCATTGTGTTATTCCCATCAACTTGCTATTCCAGATGTGATACGATCGTGCGAAGTACCTCCATGTAAATTAGGTAAGTGGAATGAATCAGTTCACTCTTTTGTTAAGTGGTAATAAAATCAAAGGTAATTAGTACCGAAACACGTTATTGAATGGAAAGAAACCGAAATTGAAACCACCAACTAATTTTTGAAGACACTGACGTGTTTTGACAGACTTATTAGGCAGTTGCGTTCTGAATTCCATCACCTCATGTGATATTTGAACCAGTTATTCTTACGTCACATCGAAATTCACCGTCTGCATTTACAACTCCGATGGGATACTTAAGACTTATCAATTCTAAATTACGTTTCATGGGAATTAGTAGAAGGACCCTCAAAGAACCAATGTTCGGCCATTTTAATCCCGTAATCGAATCAAATCTTTGGAACCAAATTACAAAAGCCAAATGAAAAACTTCTTTGTGCCCTATCAAGTTAGAGCATCAAATCAAAAGAGAAACTAATAAGAAAAAGTGTCTTGCCTACACCCCAAAGGATCTGATGAAGTACAAATTTTATCACTATGTGAATTATCTCTACAAAACTCGTTCTCCAAGTAATCTGATACAAACTGGACTTTAGTGTGAAGACCAGAGAATTAGGCACGGAGTCATTTGGGTGACAAACGGGAACTAGTTAGTCACAACCTTAAGATTACAATATATTGTTCAACTAATGCAAGCTCCCAGAATAGCTTGTCTACTTATAAATACCCATAAGTTAAATATTGATTTCACACTCCTATGTTTTCGGACTACGTAATTGAATTGGTCAAGCATAAGAAGTTTAGTAGAAGAACCAAGTGCCAGGTTATAGCGCGAGGTAAGAAGCCGATTGCCACCATCATTCGATAGATTAGAAACGTTTTATACAGATTACTTCAAATGCTTTTCTTTATAGTGCATTATTTGTCGATTTCGGAAACAGGGAAAACTACCAATATATATTACGAATACACCCTATGACAAAACATCTTAGATACACTTCATAACTCATTGAACTCTATCACATTAATGATTGAAATAATTAAAATTATTGCGGTCAATTCTAATCGCTTTCTTCTTCCTTTTACTGTATTCAAGGTTGTGTTGACATGTCTAAACACTGTTCAAAGAGGGTAGAACTATGCAAATTTACAATATATCGTTATCAATGCTGTGAATCATGTCAACGTTATGTACAAATGATTTCATCTGCAAAAGATTCTTTGAAAAACTTTCAAAACGAGAAATTCTCTGACATATTTTCTTAATAAAAAAAACAATGCATTTATACAAGTACAGAAGATAACCAAAAATTGCACAATAATAAATGAGGTCATTAACCTACACTTGAAACTGTTTGACTTCAGGATTGTTTTTCTAGCGGGTAAAATGAACAAAACAAAATTATTTGTAGTTTATCTTATTGATTTTCCTTTTTTTCAGTTCTGATAACTCTCTTGTTCTCTCTCTCCTCTACACAAAGACATATATGCTCATTTTGTTATCAGCATTTACACATGTATTCGAAAAAAACTACTTAAACGCACTAAAAAACCAGTAACAAACAACCGGTGCCCAGCATCACTATACTTTATATTATTTCATAATTACATACCAAACTATACCAATGTACAAGTGTCAATATATAAACAAAATATTTTGGTAATAAAAGTATATTTACCTGAATACCACTAAACAAATCTTAATTATGAGGAACAAAAATATGATAGAACATTAAAATAAAATCTATACTACTACTCCATTTTTCATATGATGTTTGTACAAATTGTACATACACAGTAATAAACAAACAACAAACTGTATTTATCACTTAATTAAAAATAATTAACAAGCATGTTATCATATTTACAGAAATATGTGAACGTAAACAGAGTAAAATTGTTTTATTGAAAAAACAACAACTCAAAAACAACTTTTATTTTACAATGATGAATATATAATGTACAACTATCAGTCCATATGAACCATACATATATATGCACACATACAAACACAATACATACAACAAATGAAAACTATCATATTACGCTTTATGGTATGAATAATTACTGAAAAACTACAAATAATATAAACAGTTCAAAAATTGAAAACTTTCAGTCCTGCTCTTCTCTTAAATCAAATTATGTAAGGCTACCGAAACAAAGATAATAATAATTCTATGCATACCTTTAGCATTTTCTCTTACCTCTTACATTATATATATAATGAGGATGGTGATTCAGTTGAATGTAAACGTTTTCAATTAGGTGAATGAATACATGTGATACTGTATTGTTCCGTTTCAAAGTAAATGACTATTTCAAACGCTTAACATACAACTAGTAAATGAGAATAATAGAGGTAATTAGGCACCAGGTAAAAAGAAAAAAAGCAGTAACAATCAGATGGACGAAAGGAGTAAATACCAAATGAAGTATACATTTTATTGATCGTTTGGAAAATTACTTAAATTTGCGAATCGTTAAGGTCTGAATCCAACTGAAGAATGAATATTGTCCCCCAAAAGTTAGGACATACGGATTTATTCACATCAAGTTAAGAAATCGTATATTTTTAGGAATTCGCATCGATCTTCCTCGATCATAAAAAAACCAATGACATAATCCATGAGATTCGTCATCAGAAATAATTTTGATTATATATATATATATATATATATATATATATATATATCATGCTGTCAAAATCTTATTAGAAACTGGATAGAAGGGATATGACTCTAACAATTACTATGCAGTTTATATTAAAGAGAACGAGGTACAAGCATCACTTCTATATTATTTATTTCGTTCTTATGTTCATCATAAATACATAAACTAAATTATATTAAAACACAAATGGAATCGAACATTAGTTTATTACTTATCACATTCCTGTACATAAAAATATACAACAAAATTAGAGTCAATATCCATGATAAGAATTACGAATAATTGTTTTACAATTATTCATTAATAAAAAGATCTACACTATATCATTGGTGCACAGTGTGTATAACTAAAAGAAACCAACCAACTAAAAACAAAAAGTACTCATATACAAAACAAAAATCAGAGAAAAAAACAAGATGAAATCTTTCCTTGATTCAGTATTTTGAAACTGTAGATTAAACAATAAAACAATTGGAGAAAATAAGAAACAATCCATTTAACTACTTGACAAAAAGAGAGCGGGAAGTGACAAAGATGGGAAAAACTTAGTTATATAAATAGATGAAATGATAGTTCAGCTAGTAAAACATTGAAACACAACGGATTAACTTGAACGAAAAAAATTCTTAAACGCTTTTATTCAAACTCTTGAAATATTTGTATACTTACAGTGAGTGTTGTAGTGTTAGTGTGGATTTTACATACTGAAAGAACTGGTCAAAACGAGAAAAGAGAATAAACTAGAAAAGAATTTTCTAAATATGGTGACAACGAAAAATATATGATGAATTAATTTCGAAAGAAAAACAATGATGAATGGAAGACTCATAGTAATTAAGTAAATAATTAAAATAGTAGGCAATGACTGTTAAAATTAAGTCATTATTTTAATAAAGAAAAATATGAACTTATAAGATCTAGTATTTTTTCTTCATTGTCGTTTCCATCATATGATTGATTGAAGGAAGTTTTCATTGTCGATTGGAATTAAACAAATTAATGAAACAAATAGCCTCACTTATCGGGTTGCATCCTGAAATTAGAGACAAATAATAAACAGGAGTAAAAGTATCACATTTTTTTACAGAGAAAACATGTTGGGGGATATTCCGACAATCTGAAAACTCACGTGATTAGTGACCATAATTAAACATCTTAAAAACATCCTAGACACTAAACACTTTGAACCTTTATCATGTATGATAAAGATATCTAGTGTTTCAGAAGTCTTTTAATCCTTTCAAACAACGCATTTCATCCACTTATACTTTTAATAAAATAAAAACGTGAATTGAAAGTTTCTTTAAAATATTCAAATGATTCTTCTTGATATTTTTTATTTACACAAAAGATTTAATGATATACAACTCTTGTTAAATGTATGCTGAAATCACTTATATAAACCGAGACTACACATTGAATGCTAAATTCTAGCCGATTCAACAGTTGTTTGTTACGAAACTACAAAAATGACTAATTTTAACACAATTACATTCCAAAATTAGATAGATTCGGAAATTGACTTACCAGCTTACCATGTACTTTTATTAACATACATGGCTTTGAAACACAATTACGAGTGAGGACTAGTGATATTACTAGGTTGACCTAGCCAACGTAGATGGAATGGGATCTGAAGCTGGGACTAAAAGTCGAACGCCTTGACCACTAGGCCATAACTCACAAACGTCCACAATAGAGCAAATGCATTTTTGTCTTTCTCCCCCTTAAAATATTTTATACATACTTTTTCACTCTGCCTTTTCAAACGATAATCTCAATGTCCAGCCATTATTATTGCAAATGGATTATTTTGATTTTTTTCCCGCTCATCTTAGTAACCTTATTTTGTAGTGCTAATGTTGTATGGCAAGCTGGGGCAAACCATTTAGTTAGCAGGATAATAATCACTAATAATACAAATGTATTAAAGCGATGCAAAATCCTTTAAAGTTCAATTCAAAATGTTTATATAAACTTATTCATTGCTGAATATTTTGATACATTTTTATAACTGGAATAACCTAGTTTAAGGTTACAAGAGAATTTAAGATGAATTTAGTTGTGCCAGGCTCTAAGTTCATTATAACCTGCTGACTGAGTAAAAAAGCATTGGTCGGCATCAATAAGGCTTAGAGTCAAACAATAAACGTGGGGATTCCGTGTTATCATTTTCATTACCAGTAAACACAAGTTTAGATTGTTTCGTCCTCTACTCGATTACGGCAGTATACGGTATACAACTGTCGGCACTCGAACTTGTGGAACCCTCATAGTCGCAAATCAAAAGACAAAACAAGCAGAGGGAGCGGTCACTGGGTAAGAATCACAAAAGTACAGAAAAATAGGGGTATTTCTTAATTTTTAGTATAGGCTATAACATCATTATAATCAAGCGAATCCGCAATTAGGAAAGTCATGCAAATGTCTAATCATAGCATTCCACGTTGATATTTCAAAAGGTTCTATCAGGTTCTGATTGGATTAATCTATTTAGCTCCCTTATAGCTTATGGAGGCTTCATTATGCTTTTCGACGTCGTCCCAACATAGAGTAAAAATAACGTCAAAAATACATAAGTATTTGAAAGGCTAACTCCACCTGTAGCTCTTCTAGAGTTACTGCAGGTTCCAATCCAGAGGTAGAGGAGAAAGATTGGGTGTGGTGGTCAGCAACTTCATCCCATACAAAACAAACTTGATAAAAAAACCACTGACTAGAATAAACAATTTAAACCATATAAAATCTGCGCTCCGAGTTCAAGGAAGAATTATGACGCCTCCTGAGGAAAGCCGAGAATCTTTGGAAATCACGAGACAGATGCCCCGTCTAATAACCAGAGCAACACTTCTTCTAGGTACATGGAACACCTGGAAAATAAGGAAGACCGGAAGGACCAGCCAAATAGCAAAAGGAATGAGGAGATACAACTTGGCAGTACTCGGAGTAAGTGACACACAATGAACCCAAACTGGACAGAAAAGGATAGATTCGGTAGAGATGCTACTGTACTCCGGTCACAAAGAGGAAAATACTTCACACTTAGAGAGTTGCTCTGATGCTTTCCAAATAGTCACGAGAAACATTTACAGAATGGGAATCAAATGGATACAGAATCATCAAATCATTCTTCAAAACAAAGGAGCAGGGAATTAAAATGAATACTATCCAACGTTATGCACCCACCAATAATGGCAACGACGACGATAAAGATCAGTTCTACGAAAGGCTGCAACCGATTATAATGAATAGCCCGAGAAAGGACATGACCATCCTGATGAGAGGTCTAAGCGCCGAAGTCGGGATGAACAACAACGGTTATGAAGATATTATGGGACAACATGGACTAGGAGAAAGAAAGGAAAATGGGGAGAGATTTGCAAATTTATATGCATTAAACAAATTGGTTAGAGACGGCACAATCTTCTCACACAAACGCATACACAAATCTAGATGGGTTTCACCAGACCATACCACAAAGAACCAGATAGATCATATTTGCATCAATAAAAAATACACAAGTTCAATGGAAAACGTGAGAACCAGGGGAGGAGCTGACATAGCTTCGGATCACCATCAACTGGTGGTTGCCAAGTTGAAACTGAAGCTACAAAATCAATGGACAACTGGAAAAGCCTCATTACAAAGGTTCAATACACCGTTCCTTCGACATATTGACAAACTCAACCAATTCAACAGAGCTCTCGACAACAAATTCCAAGCCTCACAAGATCTACTCAAAGAAGAAAAAACTAATGTGGAGGACAACTGGAAATGTATCAAAGAAGCACTAACTTCAACGTGTCAGGAAGTTTTGGGCCGCAAAAAGTATCATCATAAGGAATGGATCACTATCGAAACCCAGGGCAAGATTCAAGAAATGAAAGACAAGAAGACAGCAATTAACAACAGCCGAACAAGAACAGAGAACGTCAAGGCAAACAAGCAAGTGAAGAAGAGCATCAGAGCTGACAAGCAGAAATGTAAGGAAGACATAGCAACAACATCGGAAAGGCTGCAAGAGAAGAAAATATCAAACAACTATATGATATAACGGAGAAACTGGTAGGGAAATATAGTAAACCAGAGAGACCAGTCACGGACAAACAAGGCAAGATAATCACATGGATTCAAGGACATAGGAACAGATGGGTAGAACACTTTGAGGAACTTTTGAATAAAATAGCTCCATTAAATCCACTAAACAGCGAAGCACACACGTACACATTTCTAAATATGTCGCTCTATCAACGATCGAAGAAACCTGCATGACCATCTGATAAATCAACAGTGGGAAAGCAGAAGGTCCTAACAATATACAAACCGAAGCACCAAAATCAGACACAGAACCAACTGTGAAAATACTCCACGTTCTATTCAGGAAGATATGGAGGAAATTAGGAAAAGACGTTGGAAATGGATAGGACACACATTGCGGAAATCATCAAACTGCATCACAGGACCATCTCTAACTTGAAATCCTGAAGGGGAAATGAAAAGTGGAAGGTCAAAG